TCAAATTATATGTATTCTGTTCGGTCCAAAACCGGGGTGTCTCTTCAGTTTTTTCGTAGAAGAACTTTTTTATGCATTGCCGATAATTAGCTTTGATCAAAAAAAATAAAATAAAATAATAATAATAATAATAATAATAAAAAAATCCTGGTCGATCCAACACCGAGATTTATTGAGATAAGGGTATTTCGGGCTTTATGTGGATAAGTCCAGAGGGGATCAAAAAACCAATTAAGCCTTCTATAACTAAATTTTACAGCCGTACGAGCACACATACATATAAGACTCATCCATAGATAAGGAATTACAGAATAGACCAAGAGACATGTCAAAAGGTTAAAAATGTGGTGGCATGATACCATAATTTTGTATTGCCATTTTATTTTATTTCCCTCCGTTTAGTTTGAAGAATATTTGTAGAATTTTCGAAAACAGTTTTACGCCCTAAAATCTCTCCTACATACAAACTCTAAACCTACTTCATACACAGTCTATGCATACAAACTGTATAAGTATAAACGAAGTGGAGTGGTGCTCGTGTGTATTCGATTTTTCGTTTAAAGTTTGACCTTGTGAAACTTCGCAGTTAAGAACAAACTGCAAGACTCCTCGTTCTTGCAAAGTGCTAATTTTGCACAGCTAGGCGGAAGTCGATAGCAACAAAAGGCCCTAAAGGCACAAGCAACAAAGTGTCTCCCACAACGTACATTTACAATGGAACTGCATTGATAAGGAAGCAACAAATGTTTGCGTTGTTGGCCAGCTGCTCCGCGSSGCCAGCGAGCGCAGAGCTTTCAACGCCAAACAACAACGAAAGCAACGAAAGTTTGTCCCAAACGTGCAAAGGACACACTCGCGCGCTCTCCAACTGGCCTGCAGACGCTCTTAAGTGCTCTTCGACACAARTGCGGAGAGAGTAAGGCTCACTAACTGYCGCCGAATTTGTTGTGGGTGGTACTATTCCTGCTGTTCTGCCACGACGGCGCTGGCTGGTTGTGTTGGTGTTGCAGCTGCTGGTGTTGGCGTAACAGCAAGTGTTGCGTGTCCATGGCTGTCTCTAACGTTTGTTGGCTGACAAAAATTTTCGAAACGGTTCTTGCCACCGTCAGTCTAGGGTAAACGCTTCAGATGGGCACAACAAGTGCGCGCGTGCTAATAAACTTCACACACACAGTGGTTCAGTACAAGAACAGTGAAAGTGCTAAAGTGGTGTGTGACACTAAAAACCAACAACAACAACAGGGAAAACAACAGCGGCAACATTGCCACTTACTTGCCAAACTGACAAACAAATCGCGTTGAACGTTAAGCGCCGTGTGTGCGTGCGTGTGTGTGYGTCTAGCGACGGTAAAACCGCGATTAATGCCAGTTTTAGATGCTTCTCAGCCGCAAACCGTTGACATACACACCAGACGACATAGTTACTCAGCCAATAACGGTGGTTGTGGGGCGGTGCGCCGCATTCACCTGTCACTTTAAAGCTTACTTTCGATTTGCTGATTGTTGCGCCAGTCATTTGAATTCGACGGAAATAAGCGACGTATCCGGAAGAGCAAATTTTACGTCGCGATTTAACGGCACCTTCGCGTTTGCGTGTTTGTTATTGTAATTTCTGAAATTCATTCTTCCTGCCTTGGWATTTTTCGTGTTTTTTACGCAGTTGTTTTTTGGTGAATCACACGTCAAGCGCGAGAAATTTAGCGAAACGCTTGAGTGGCGTCTCCCCCTCTCTTCGTCTTACGCGTTTGTGTGTGCAAGTGCTTTGCGCCTGTTTTTCGTAGGAGCGCGCGCTTAGCGTGTGTGTGTGCGAAAGTGTAAGCACAACGGAAGTGTTAAATCGTAAATAAAGTGGCATAGCTTTGCTGGTGGCCTCAACTAGTACGGTGCTACGTACACGGGCGCACCCTCACAGTGGCAACGACGATTTGTTTGCAAAGCCCACACTTACGCGGGGCAAAGTGAACGTAATTACGGGTTTGTTTTAAGCCAACAAACAAGTGAACAAAGTGTTTGAGTGGTGTATTTGCATACGACTAAATTTTTGTTGTCGAAATTGTTGGCATTTTTGTGAAATTGCAAGTGATACCGGTTGCAACCAATTTAGTGGCAATTTAATGGCAATCGATAGTGGAAGTTATGACTTTGAAGAGTTGATAAACACTGCTAATGCAAATTCAAATACACACCCGAGCGGCTATTAGGCGAAACATGTAACTACAAAAGCAACGTGCACAAGTTCCCAACGATTTAGCAGCACAGCCCCCACAGTCCCACATCAAGTTTAGTACATTTTGATTGACCCTGGCACGTAAAAAAAAATTATTGGAAAAATTATATATGTATATATATTATGAGAAGCACTTTAGATGCAAATCAACGGTAAATTAGTGAGCGAAGAAGTGTTTTGAAATTCTTCGTGTAGTATTTTTAAATTGCAATCCCATTAGAAAACGAAATTTTTTAAATCAAATATTGTGAAGATAATCAACCAACAATCTTAATTGACCGCGTCTCAGCTGGTAAATTATATTTTTGAAAATATTTGCAAGTGAATTTCGCACGCAAACGTATTTGCTTACTTTGCGCTTTGCACCAGTAGCAACGCTAACCAACCAACCAACGCCCCATTCTGGTACTCCGACACACCGTCACCACCACCGACCCGCTACTGTAGCAGCAAACTGAAAATGTATAACTTTTGGATAATCGTTTTATGTCTAGGATTATTAGCAACCAAGCCAATAAGTAAGTAMAATTCTTGCCATTACTCCATTACACTTACATTCGCATACATATTTACATATATATTATATCTAAGGATTCACATATATAGTATATAGTATAGTATATCCAACCAGATAGCTCGAGTGAGTTTGTTTACTTTGCGTAAGCTTGTTATTTAACTTTGTTAGTAGCTTGTTTACATAAATGCAATTGTAGGATTGTGACTCACATACTCATACATAAAAACCTGCCAAATCAAATTGGAAGGTTGGCTGCTCGTTAAACGATTGCTTTTGTTAGATTTAAGTTAAGTAAGGATGTTCAGCATTGTAATGCAAAAGTAACTGTTTTCTAATAGGCAGGTCTGTCCTTTGTTTTTGCCGTAATTTTAAAGGAAATCGTTTAACATTGCTTTAAGTATAAAATGTAAGTAAAATGAAAATTTTTATTGAGTGAGATAAAAAACAAAATACTTTGAAAATATGTTAAATTTATGCTGAGCTTTCTGTAATATTTATTTTAGATTTTCCTCTTTCATAAACTGTTTAAAAAGTGGAGAAAAAAGATGTAGAAGTGGCTTACTGGGGAAAACACATATAAAAACCGCGCTGGGTAAACTACCACATGGTGAATTTTTAACTCCATAAGCGAAATTTGTTTATAGAAAAATATTTTAATGTCAATAAGGATTACGATATCTAGTGATAATTCCAATTGGTGAGAATTTCTTCTAAAAAGGAGTTTTCTTTCTTTTTTTCACGGGAGAAATTTCCCTCCAGCATTTTTTTAACCTGAATAGGAAATATTAACGAGTTATATCCAGTTAGAACGCCGAAAAAAGCGAATTTTCAGCATTTTATCTGAGAAAACTGAATTAATCCAAAAATTTATATACACAATATGGTATCTTTTATTTGAATTTAAGACTTAGTATTAGTACAAATATTAAATAAAAACAAATCAAAAAAATAAAAATAAAAAAAACCTTTTAATTAAAACAAAATTTGTAATAAATTACCTGTCTCTTATACACATCTAGATGTGTATAAGAGACAGGTTTGAAAACACCATAAAACGCGTTTTAAGATTGGAATGTATCTCGAAGCACTCTGAATCGCCTTTTCAAATTTGCGTGTAACTTCGGAAATATTTACAGGAAATATATAGAAGTTTCTGTGTGCACTCTTAAATATATAACTGTTAAAAAAAAAAATTTTATAATATAGATACTATACAAATGAACAGCGTGACGAGCTGAGTCGATTTAATTGTCCGTTCGTCTGGCTGTCTGGCTGTATACATTAATGCAAAATATTTAATTTTTCATCAATATTTATTTTGCCGCCTTCAAAGTAATCCTAAGCAGATGTAATCACTTTTGGGGATGGSCTTAAACTCCTTCAGTAAATTTTCTTCTATCTCTTCGATAAAATGCAGAATATGGTAATTGATCGATAGTACTCATTGCATTTTTAGCTCTAAATTAGGACACAATCGTATTCTTCTTGAAAAAAAAAAAAAAAAAAAATCAACGCATTTCATATCCAAAATACATCGAAGGGATTCGGGAGAGATGTTGGGATCTTTTCCCATCTCTCTAACTCGTGCCGATTTTCAAGCACATTATCGTCAGCTTTTTTAATAGTTTCATTAGTTGAAGAGTTCGCTGGTCGTCCAGAAAGAGGCATCTCTTAAACGATCTCTCGACCGAAGCTTTGTATCACTCATAGGATTGTGTTTATGATAAAACTGATTCACCGTCAGCATTTKCCAACATTGCAACAATTCCACACACGAAACTATTCATTGTAAAAATCGCAACGCACTAATTACTGTGGAGTACCGACTTAAGTATCTTTTGTAAACAAACTGGTTGGCAGATCGCACACATATTAGACATGGTAATTAAGAACAGTGCTAAAAACTTAGAAAAATACATTTTTTGGATTGAAATATCACTTACCCAGAGAATTTTATTACAATTTCCGTCTGCTTTTTTGTCCTAATCCACTATACAAATGAACAGCGTGACGAGCTGAGTCGATTTAGTCGTCTGTCTGTATATACATATGTGAAATAGTGCTACAGTTTTTGAGTTATTGATTTGAAATTTTGCACCAGTACTTTCATCATTGAAAATCTGCTCATTTGTCGGGTCCGCCGATAGTGGCCCACTCTGGCACATATGTAGCTTTAATACAAAGTGAACGATCCCAATCCAGTGGTTGTTTTGTAAACTTTTTCATTTATAAAGGTATTTTCACAAAATTWTGCATGTCTTAATGCCTCACCGAACAATTTTTCAAATTATTTGTCATAAAAATTTATCTGTAGCATCTTTTTTTGGGGTGTAATGATATTAAAAATCAATAAACAATTTTTTATATAATTAAAAAGCCTTTTATTATCAGTTCACTTTTATCAAGTTAGGTCTGTAAATGCTATACTTTTTATATAAATCCAATACCAATCCGATGCATTTCTATGAATAGTTGCCAATTTGCATATTTATTTATAACCAACCAGATTCAAAACTCAATAAAATTATTTCGAAGTTCTCTGTGCATAAATTTAAATAAAAGTGCATACTTAATATTATTTTTATTTTATTTACTATTATTAGMAGAGTATGAAATGAATGGAAAAGTTCTTAAAACACATTTACCCAGAAAATTTACAAGTCATGGCGAAATGAATTATTCATAAAAGCAAAGCATAAAGTTAGACCTGCAACTGTATTGAGTGTAAAAATGTTAAAAGCATGACTTTCACTCACTTAGCGGAAAGCTGCAAGAACAAACACTAAGCGCTCATTGACTAGGCGGGTTGTTGAACAACAGAGTTAAGTTGTTGGTGGCTGAAGGCTGGTCCATTGCTATGACGAAGGCAGCAGTATTTATTAGCTGAACAGTTGTTGTTGTGTGCCACAAATTCGATAGCGTTGCGGCTGGAGGAGCGTTGAAGCATGCTTTAAGTTGGATTTGTTGATGCAGACGGCAGACTGGGTTAACTAGCCGACAGTGCATCAACAATGAGCGAAAGCATGCAAAGCCAAAGGGAACCACAATTTTGAAAGTGTGCTGAAATAATTGAGTCAGTGGTGGTGCGGGAAGAAAAATTGAATTGAGTTAATAAAATGATTAAATAAACTCTTTTATTAATGATAAATAGTAATTTTAAAGTATGCTACTGTTAATTTAAAAATAAAACCAAATTAAGAACTTATTCGATAAGATATTCGATTTCTTATCTGATATTGGCTTTTTAATTACGTAATGCTTGCAAGCTTAGACAAGTATAATAAAGCYAATGACACCTAAGATGCGGCACCAGGAAGCCTTTCGTCCTCTCGCTTCAAATAACCAAACAATTTGCAAAGCCGCTTACGTCATTTTGATACGTGGCTTTTGGCATCAGTTAAATACATTGAGTATGTTTGATTAGTAAATCTTTTTCTAATTTCATTAACAAACATATTCTCTAAGCACGTTTGCACTAACTCACCGTTTTATAAAACGATTTTCATACACCAATTMCAATGTGCCATTAAATATGTGGCTTATTTTCCGGCGAACACACTTTCTATTAATAGGTTGGGTTATGTTAATCTGGTAGTCCAATGAGCCATCCATAGACCAGTTGTGGTCCTTTGTGATACCATATGTATTTCCGTTACTTGATATTATTGATAAAACAAAGAACATACCTCGCATTSAAAAGAAATAAATAACTTTCAAAATTTAGCAAATATTTATTACGCGCAGTAAAGGAAACTGATAGCAGCAGTTGACTGGAAACAAAGCTTYACATAAACAGCGTTGCCTTTGGTGCAAAGATTTCGATTAACCACATAAAATTAAAAAATTTTACTGCAATAATTTTTAACTAATATAATATATCATTTTTGATATTTTGTTAATAGTTTTATAAAGTTAAAAAAAAACACAAGAAAAAATTTAAAATTCATTTGTTTCATGTTTATATGGCAACCATATTTATATGCTATAGTGATAAGATCTGTACAATTTCATCAGAGATTGCACTATTACTTTAGGCTATGGCTATTGTCAAATTTCTTGCAGATATCTCATTAAATGAAAAAGTTTTCAATACAGCACTTGATTCCAATCGTCCAGGTTATATGGAAGCTGTGTGCTATAGACAGACAAACGGAGATGGCTTAATCGACTTCGCCTGTCTAGAGTCTAGAGTCTTCGACTTTTTTTCTGGGTGCTATAAACATCGTGGCAAACTTAATATACCGTGTTGAGGATATTTTTTTTTATTTTATTTTATTTTATTAAAGCTTACATAATAAACAAATTATTAAATAAACTAAAGTACGCAGTGCTAGCATTAAAGGCTTTCGGCTGTGTTGAGGATATAATTATTAACGTCTCATAGAATGGGTTGCAATTTTTTTAATTAAAACATGCTAGAAAATTGTCTAAAAAGCAAAATAACATTACATTACTTTTTATGGGTTTACAGGCCAAAGAAAACGATATAATAAAAACTACTTATATTGAAACAAAATCTGAGTTTTGGTTATARAATGGTTATATATTGATTGTATAATATGTGATATGATGTAATGAAGCGTAACCAATAAAATTTGCATTTTAGGTGACGATGTGCAAATTTCAGAAAAAAAAATATATAAATTAACGAGCACAGCTCTTTATTTTTTTAATAACTCTACAAATTTATGAGTACCTCCGGGACATGGTAGACATTGGTAAGTGAGCGAGGTAAGCGATGCTTCATGATTGTATCGCTTACTCCGATCAATAAAAATAACTACGGCGATGTCCTAGGAAAAGTAACAGATCATCCCTTTCGCTTACCATAGGTACACAGAATTCTTCGATGCCACAGTTAACGAAGAGTTCTTTTAAGCCAAGGACAATAGTAGCTTAGAAAAAGAATGTGCATATTACTTTTGCTTTATTTATGAAAGTGCCTGTATGTATTTCGTTATGAAAATAAGTATTTATGWATAAAAAGTAATGAATTGCTTT